GGCGTGGCGGCCGAGGTGGGTGTGGTCACGAAGCGTTTCGGTAGCCTGAACAAATCCATCTTGCTGGTGGTGAGCCTGCTGATGACGGGGCTCCTCCATGCTCTTGGGATTGAAACGGGGTGTTGTTTGGGCCAGGGAAATTGGGGGAGCATCCAGAAGGACGATCACATGAGCCTGATTGACTAGGTCAGGTCCAGTTGGTTTGGCAAGACACGTGGCCTTTTGATGATTGGCACGGGTGCTGGAACCATCATTCCTTTGGCACACAGGATGGGTTTTGCACTGCATTTTGCACAGAACCTTTTTGTGGGGTTAGTTTGGTCCGCTTGATTGATGGAGTCTTCCCTGGGATTGATGTGGTTCATGCCTACTCTAAAGAGTGTTCCTCCCCGATTGGCAGACGTGACCGAACAAGCTGAATGCCTCAGCTGCTAACCCGCTGAAGCATATTGAAGCCAGCTCAGAATGCATGGATTGATCGAGCTTCGGGAAGCCCTGGATTTAGTTCATGTCCATTTGACATGCTCTTCCAAGATATGTATACATACCTGGACCCCTCAACTTCAAGTACCCTAGCTAAATATAGGACATGACCCGAACAAAAAAGCTGGTATAGTATACAAACATACCCGTTCTCATCCATTTTTCAAGAAGTACGAACTGAAACTCCAGGTGCACAAAGACTTGTAGAATCATACCAGAACTTCCCCCACCGACCCATGGCGAAAAAGCGGTGCTAGGTCTTCTTGGAAGGCGCCTGGCCTTCCAGCAGCGCGGTCGCTTCAATTCTTTTGGTCCGGCGCCCCGTGGTCCTGGGAGCCACACACTGGATTTACACCCGCCCTAAGCCTCCAGTCATAGCTTCTGCGAAGGTGGGACTGGGGTGGGTGCCAGGAGGGTTCAAAAACCTTCTGAGGAGGTACTTGGAGGTGTAGGGCTGGGAAATCAGCAACTGATTCAAGTCATTAGAATCATATTAGAAGTTAATATAGAAAGTACTTCCAGCGAAGGGCCCTTCTTGATGTAGAAGAGTTATCCTCCGGTCCCTTCTTGGTCTTTGCCAGAGAACGTCCTCAGGATGGCCCTGGACCATCCGCAGGATGGCCCTGCCAAGAGCCGGGCTTCCCAGGTGGTGTCGGGCTTGGTGATCTACAAGGAGCTCGACCAACAACTCCCGCTTCGTTGGCAGCGCCTTGGCGCGAGCGAAGCGACAATGCGCGATGGAGGAAGGGGCGGTCCATTTGCGATGAAGAAGGAAAAGGAGCTCCCATCTGGGTCAGGAACATATGCACCAAGATTCAACAAAAAATATCAACAAATCGAATCTGTGCAATCTGTGCATCCTATTCTGATAGATGGACCGGGTGTGGTTTTGGATGTCAAAAGCAGAGCAAGTAACACCTGCATTGAGGTCCCTGAACTTTTGATTCGAAGGTCGGTCATATGTGGCAGTTACCTGCAGAAAGACGGAAAACTGAAGGCCTTTCGTGGAAAACATAAGAGGTTCATTGGACTGGTCTTCCATGGTCTTCCTACGTATTCTATGTGTGGCAAAAGGCAGGGAAAACATTCAATCTTAGAGAACGGGGTTTTGTCCACAGCCGTCGAGGAAAAGGAAAAGGTCTCCGGCCTGGCAACACAGTTCAATCGTCGGAAAAACCATGCCCTCTTTGCGTGGTAATCACATTTCCCACATTAGACATGTGGCCATGGCCCGCAGTGCTATGTTTGAAACCCATGAAACACGAGCCCTTCCTTCTAGCGTAAAGTCAGTACGCTGAGGCTGCGCGAGGTCCCGCCATGTCGGAGTGATTCTTTTTGTTCCATCCAGTGAGTGAAGGGGAATCAGGGGCACAGTGGCACCCTTATCCTGCGTTCGTTCGGCAGCCAACTCCATGAAACTGCTGGTCCTCAAGTCTTTTTCAGCTCAGCTTGAGTACAGCTTAACTGAAAAGACTAGCCAAGCCACCAAGAGCCACCAGAGCCACCAAGACTAGCTTCCTTAGCCAAGCCACCAAGAGCGTAGCTGTTCAACCAAGCTCGTATGCCCCCAAGCGGCACGTGCCGCGCCCCAGGGCCGCTCAGCACATCGGCCCAGGTCAGGGGTTCGCTTTGGCACCTTGTTGGGCCGACCCTTTCAAACGGATGCTTGGGTCAAGGAATACGCAGGCGCGATCTGATGGGGTGGGCTTTTGGGCATCAACATGACAGTCATGACATGCTGCAGGGCCTGCAGGGTGTAGAGATGGGAGATGTTTGTGGGCGGCATGTGGAGGAAGCTTCTGAATCAGCAGTTCTTCAGCCCGGCCATTCTCTTTCGTTGTGCGGTCGTTCGCAGAAAAAGACGAGCGTAGCGTAGCTTCGGTGAAGTCGAGATCGAGAAATCCCGCAGAGTTTCAGTCAGAGTGTCATTACATCGAAGGCAAAGGCTTCTCAGATCGGGCTGGCTATAGGGCCTGGCTGGAACACCATGCACTTTTGGTGGAGCGTTGAGGAAAAGAAAACATCACATCATGTGCCGGGAAGAAACGAAAGACACGAACACAAATTGCATCCTCCATGGTAACTGGTATGTTGGGGGTTCTGGTATTTGAGGAAAAGACTCTTTGATGTTTGGATATGACAAACTGGGGAGAGGGCGATCTTCATCGCATCCCGCCGAAAGAGGCCTTCTTTCGAACACCTCTTTTGCCTTCGCAGGTCTTCCCTGACCTGTGATGAGTGGTGCAGGCGTGGGGATTGGGTGATGTCCCAAGCAGCCAGGAAGGAAACACCATCCTTGGGAGTGAGATCAGCATGTCTTCCTTGGGAGTGAGACTAGCACAGGTGGTTTTCTTGGCCTTGCGTCCCTGAAGAGGGTTATACATCCAACTACCACATGACATGTCCGTGAAATCATCATGGGTTAGTGGAATCATTTCACCTCCTGAGATTGGTCAAAGGAGCATGGCCATCCAAGTCTTTTTTGGGTCATGCCATGCCACGATCTTCCATGGTTTCAGGATATTTTGTGGTGTCAGAGGTTCGATGGCACGTTTCCCCCATGATGTCCTGTCGACACATGGGGGTCCACCAAACCACCGACATTGGGGTCTGTGCCATTGGTCCTCTCAATCCACGATATTTCGTATAAGATCCGACTTATGCGGCCTAACAGTCCAGTGACATTCTTATCGCCTTAGGGCCCACGGGGGCATGGACCCCTTCAACTCTTCGGGGAGGATGGACAGCGCGAGGTTCCAGTTTCAAGTCTGGCCAGGAGGGCTCTCCATATCCCAGACACGACCTGCTTGGGATTGGCATATCTACCAGTGGGGTGATTGGATTTGCATCCAATCGGAACTTGTTCGACACGTTCTTTTGAGGGAAAGCACGATTAGTTCAAAAACAAGGTGCAAATTTGGAAACGTCCAATGATTCATTCAACACACATGCCTAAGTCTTGGAGTGACTTGTATGTTTTTGTTTTTTTTTAATACTCCTGTGTGGCGTGTTGTTGTTTGTTTTTAATGGTGTAGCATGTGCCAGATGATTTTGTGGGTCCGCACGATTTCTGAATGTTTGGATTTGATCTTTTTTTGGGGGGTGGGGACCTCGCAGTGCAGCATTTTAGAGTATTTTAGATGGTTAGAGTCAACTGCACGACCATGGAAGGGCTTTGGGGATGCAAAGCATGGACTTGAACCAATGATTCGACTCCGCCAAGGCTTTGCTTTTCGAACCGAGTGCTTTTCGTCAGGCACCTGTGGGGAGGAGGTTTGAGCTGTTTCGATGTCACCCGGACCGACACATTAATGCTGAGTTTCGACGACAAGCCTTGACGACATGCGTTCAGTCAGATGTCGACAAGATGTTGCCGTATGTTTCCCATTGCCCATTGATCGTGACAATTTGACTAATGACTAGTCTGACTTTATCATATGACTATATAGAATGATGATTTGTGGGAAACCGCATGTTTTCCCCCCCAAAGACACAGATCTGGCCGGCTGCAGTTGTTGCAAGCAGAGACAGGGGAGCTAAAAGACCTACAACTATTGATTAAATCGGCAAATGTGCTCGTTTCGAACACTGACTGAGAGAGACAGGGCGAGCTGGAAGACAAGCCACAAGCAGGCACAAGTTCGAGCCAGGTTCGAACTTGAAACCCTATATAAATTGTGTGCTTTTCGGAAACGAGCGAACTTAACACCTGGCGGTGTTCACGCGTTCTTTGGCGGGGGCCAATGGTATGACGCCACAGCTATATGCAGCAGCAAGGCGCAATAGGATGCATACGTGAGTAAATGATTTGGATGCAGCTTCATCGTGCGCAAAAACATGGCCGAAACCAGCAGCATGATGCAAAGCAAGGGTATGATGTGTCCTGGCAGTCACATGGAATGTACTCTCCCTGGAACTAACATGGTTACGTGGAGAATGGCCCTTTGGCTCTTGACCTCGTCCTCAGAGACGGCCTTTGACGGCGGTGAAATTCCCCAGCAGCCCTTGGGCGGGCGGCACCACTAGTACTTGTCTTAAAACAAGCATTTGTGTTGGCAGATGTTGACAAATATTATTGTATTAATACACATGCACTGACAATCACTGCATCTTTATCTTGTAATTTGATGTGATGCAGTTCAATCCGATTCTCATTTGCACTGGCAGCTGAGCATGTTAACAGTCTGTTTCCTTTTCTGCCGTTTCGCATCGGCTGTTTGCCTTGGACCTTCTAAGAAGTTCCAAAATTCCAAAACACAAGCTTTTGCAGTCAGTCTGTGGCCCAAGTGACACAAGCACCGTCTCTCCACCACAGTGACACTTGCGATATGGATGCAACCATAGTTTTAGCGTGATTTGTTGAATATGGGCCATGGACAACTTGATATAGGCAGGAAATATTTATGCATAAGCATACACCAGCAGTCACAAAGGGGTGCTTAAGTTAGTTTTCATACTACACAGGCGCATCGTTTCATCCTTGGGCGCTTCCGGCGGCCCTGTCGGCCATTGTGGCCATGGCCTCCGGAGGAGTCTGGAACACCCAGCGTTCCTTTCTGGCTCAGCTGAGGGACGGCAGCCTGGAGGCCTGGGGACACCCAGATTATGGTGCCCCGATCCCAGCCGACATCATAGCCTCCGGGCAGAAACACGGCCTGAAACGGGCTTGGTCTACGTGGCAAGGTGGCTTTTTAGTGGAGCTGCAGAACGGGGAGTTTCACGCCTGGGGAAACAAGGAAAAAGGTGCCGACATCGACGCCGTGAAGGCCACGCTGGAACGCGAGGGCGTCGTGCAGATTTGGAGCACCGGACAAGCTTTCCTGGCAGAGTTGACGAGCGGCAAGGTGCTCACATGGGGCAGGGCAGATTACGGCGGCGACGTCGCCACCTCGGTGCGGGAGGCCCTAGAAGCCGAAGGGATCCAGCGCGCCTGGTCCACACGCGGTGCCTTCATCGTGGAACTGAAGAGTGGCCGAGTGGTCGCCTGGGGCGATTCCGACTACGGATCCCAAATCCCCTCCGACGCCCAAGCAGCGATGCGAACCAAAGGCCTCCGCGACATTTGGACGACGCGCGGTGGCGCCGTCGTGGCGCAGCTGAACACCGGAGAAGTGATCTCGTGGGGAGACACCCGCTGTGGCGCCGACCTCGGCGGCGTGAAAGATCGGCTGGAAGCCGCGGGAGTTCGACGCATGTGGAGCACTCTTGAAGCCTTTTTGGCGCAGCTGAAGACGGGCGAAATCCTGTGCTGGGGCGCCAAAAATTATGGCGGTGCGCTCCCCGCGGGGACGAAAGAAGCGCTGGACGCCCACGGAGTCGCCCGCGCATGGAGCACCAACCGTGCATTCCTGGCGGAGCTGACGAACGGCTCCGTGGTGGCCTGGGGAGTCGAATTCTTCGGTGCCACGATCCCAGACGACTTGCACGGCTCCTTGGAACGCGAGGGGATCCGCGAGGCCTTCGGCATGGGCGCCGCCTTCCTGGTCGTTTTGAAGAGCGGCCGCTGCGTCGCGTGGGGCCATGACGACTACGGTGCAGACCTGAGTTCCGTCAAGGACAAGTTGGAGACGGTGGGCCTGGCGCTTTCAGCGCCTGCAGCTCCGGCCGCCGTGCACAGTGGAGATGGAAGCTCAGCTCCTGCGGCTCCTGCACCAAGCGGATGTCCGGCCTTTTGCCGAAGCGTCGATCTGTCGCCGGTGGTGGTGAAGCTCACGGAGAAGGTCTCCAACTCCAGCTGGGTGAGCAGGGCTATGGTGAAGGTGGATGATCAGGAGGCAAGGGGTCGGTCAGAGTGGGATGAAGATTATTACTATGCATGCAATAAGATGTGATTAATGCTAAAACTTATCTCTCCCTATAATCCAACTGGTGGCGTCAGTGGGTGGTTGCACTTACTTGGGCCTGGAGAAGACTTTGGTTTCAGGGGATTGGACCCAGATGTTATGGTACGATCCTTCAAAGATTGAGGAAAATAGCAACCAGAAGAAGACGTCTATAGAGAAAACAATTCGAAATAAAACAATGTGGCACTTCTAGATGTGTTGGTCTTGTTTGCCTGGGCGTGCGAGACCGCACAAGGCCGCAAGGACGTGCAGCTGTAGAACATTTGGCTTGAAAACAAGATAAACAAGTTCACACATTATAGGACAACACGTGTCACAATATGGAGACTTGTACTTTTGGTGACGCACGCTTGATTGTATATGTTTCTATGTTGCTTGGGTCCTGGGTGGTGAATCACATGATATCACATGTTTGTAGGTTTACAACATTCCGAGCAAGCCATTAATATCATCTCAGATCATCATAGATCATCGTCTATATATATATATATGTACTTGAACTGGGCATTCTCTCAATTATATAGCTCCGAGAGCCCAGTTGTACGTGACGAATCGAAGCACCTGTTTACACTGATGATTGGAGCTTTGGCCCTTCTGAGGTGCCGGCTGTGGTCAAGGCCATGCGGCTACCGCAGGCTGAGAAGGAGAAGAAGAACAGGCAATTGCTACGCCTGAAGGACGCACAAGAGTTGCCCAGCTTTCAGTTCAGACTTCACTGTCCCATTTTCTGTGCTTCAGCATGCCATAGCTTGCAGTATACCATCAGTACCAAGAAATATTGATAAAGACATTAAAGACTGTCATCCTTTCTGTAGCAAATGATTTCCTTCTTTGGAATATGGCCCCGGGCCCCGGGTAAAGATATTCTTAAATCGATCCTGTCTAGTCTTGTCTCTAGTGAACCTACACCCCAAACTAGCAGCAACAACAACAGGTTCTTGCAATCATGGTTGATCCTGCCTGAACCTTCTTCCGTTAGCCCTTCTCGGGGCAATGCACCTCATCAAGCAAAGCAAGAAATTGACACCCACAGATTTGCTGCTATGATTTGCTCTTGAGAGAGGGAGAGAGAGCCTCAATGTCGCTGCCTTTTTACACCAGTTCATCAACCTTCATATGGTTTAGCCGTTTATAGGCGACGGTTGTATAAGATGACTATGTGAAAACCAGGGTGTATCGTTCACACAAGTTTGAGTGTTGGCCAAGCCTGGGGGGCAAACAAGTCCATATTCAATATTCATTGTATACCCTAGGGCTCTGGGGAGGGTTTAGAGGGTCCAAATCCCTTCTGAGGAGGTACTTGGAGCCCTAGGGATTGGATGTTCGCGGAACGTTTTTCTCGAAGCCGTTCGTGAGCTGTTTTTGACGTGTTCTTGCCGGATTTTGATCTCAAGGTGGGGCTCAGGGGGGCGCGGCATGCCGAGCTGCGCCACTTGCTCCAGGTCCTTCTTCATCGAGGAAGGAGGAGTTTGCAGAGGTTGCGTGCTGCTGCGAAAACTTGGCCAGGAATTGAGATTTCAGCCAAGGTCCAAGTTAGAGGCACGAGTGGCCATATCCTGGTTGGAATCGGCTTTGCGGGGGCTAGAAGTGCTTCGCGACTCCTCGCACTTCGTGGACGAAGGCACCAACGAGCAACTTGGCCTGAAAACCTGTCCGGTGCCGCCTAGCGTTAGTGCCCCTGGTTCCAGAGAGGCTTCAAGCCGAGCAGAATCGCGAGCAAGTGGCGAGAGGAGGAGAGCTGAGAGGCCAGAGACTCCGGCAGAGGAGGAGAGAGAAGGCGAGGTTGCAGAAAGGCCGCGCCGTGAGAGAAGGAGAGAGCCTGAGGATAGGTCAGAGAGGGATGGCAAACGCCGCAGGAGAAGGTAGGCAGGCAGACGAGTCGGTTGGGATCTTCGAGATTGAGGATAAGGAGAGATGGCTCATGATGGGTGTCTTCGCAGGTCGTGTCATCATCTTCCCCATGGAGCTCGGTCAGAAGGTCGTCTCATGCCCCTTTTTCGTAAAAGGTCATGCTGTGCTCCCCGACGGAAGCCTGTCAGTGGAGGTGGTGTCCCTTGGAACTTCGAACAGCAAGGAGTCGAGGACTTTAACAAGCATGAACAAGCTCCTCAACAAGGCCCACATTTGCCAGGACGACCCTTGCAGCGTAGGCGGGAGTTACATCAGCCACATCAAGAAGTTAGAGGTAGTTCATGGACCCGACCTCGAACAAAGCTCCCTTGGCTCTTCAGGTTTCAAAAGGTGGGCCAACCTATGTCAAGAAGTTCTAGGGGTGAACGTCAACGAAACCCGTGCGCCCGAGGATCCATGGAAGGACGATGCTATGGGAGCTCGACCCGGTGCACTGCGACGTGGAGGAGAGAGATCAGGAGCCGACTCCGAGAGACATGCCATCTTCGTGAACGACGACCCAGAGGACGACGAGGTGGTCAGAGGCCGCGAGAAGGTGAAGAAGGTGAGGAGCGGTGCAGAGGCTACAGAGCCAGAGGAGGCGAGCAGAGGACGAGGAAGAGTGACAGAGGCTTTGAGCGACCTCAGACAAAAGCTCAAAGAGAGCATGCGCACCCCTGGCAGGCCAGAGCCTGCTGGAGGTGGATCAGCCGATCCCAAGAAGGCCGCTGCTTCATCACTTGCAGTGGCACCCAAGAAGACCGATGGGCCCAAGAATTTGACCTTTGGCGTGGAGAAACCTGCCTCCGAGATTCAGGAGCTGCTGAAGAGTGGATTGGAGGAGCCAAGAGAAGGTACTTCGAGCTCCAAGAGGAATCGTTCCCCGAGCGAGGCCCTGATCGCAGCGGCCAGCCATGCTGCCACAGGGAGGACAGGAGGGGAAGAGAAGAAAAAGAAAAAGAAACGGAAGAGAAGCGACAATCGAGTTCTTCAGGTGTTGAAGAATGCCCTGCGACCCAGGCGGGGAAAGAAGGAAAAGAAGAAGAAAAGGAAAAAGAAGGAGAAGAGCGAGGGAGATCCCTCAGACGACGATGGGAGCCCGGACGATTCGTCGGACGACGAAGAGGAGGAAGAGGAGAGCAGCAGCTACTCATCAGAGGAAGAGAGCAGCGAAGACCGGAAGGCGAGGAGGCTGCAGGCACCACTCAAGAGGAGGAGTCAGAAGAAGAGAGGAAGTGTCATCCACCTCCTCCTCGAACAGATAGCCGAGCAGTTGCAGGACTTGTCAACCCCGCAAGAAGACTTGCTAACCAGCGGGTCGAAGGTAGGGACCTACTGGCAGATAAGCCTCAAGCACAGGTACAATGCCGGACATCCAGCCCTCCGCGAGTTGTTCCTGTTGGCCACGGTGATCGACAGGGTCCGCAGTGGCCAACTCCTCGAAGCCCTGGATGCTTTGGCCGGTCGTTTCATTGCGGTCGAAGCGGCGACTCACGACGGTTGGAACGTGGCGAAACATCTGGAGGTTGCCGTGCCGGCGGAGCAGGCCATCGCACCAGCCGAGCTTCAACTAGCCGCCCGGAGACACAACAGCATGGTCCTGAAGGCGCAGGGCTACGAAGGAAAAGGAAAATGGAGGTATGCTTCCGGAGGCAGAGGCTGGAGTGCGACAGGGTCAAGCAAGGACGAAGGCAAAGGCTGGTGGCGATCCAAGGGAGGAAAGGACGGCAGAGACAACAAAGGCAAAGGAGGGAAGTGGAAAGGAGGCAAAGATGCAGGACGAGGCAAGGGCAAGAGCAAGGGCGAGGCGGAGGGCGACAAGACCGAGGAGTGAGGAGTGAGGAGTGCATGAGAGGAATTCAGATGAGGGAGACAATGGACTCCACTATGCCGGGCCAGACTTTGACTGACGTTCAGCCATCCAATGACAGTACAGAGGCTGAGGTTGGAAACGAGACGAGGTCCATGGCAATGACAGTTAATTTGCTTGAGGTTCCAGCTCGTGAGGAGCAGTCAGCAATGCATGTGAGAAGGGAGAAGATGAGTGAGGACGCGCCAGAGGAGGTTGCAGGAGAGAGGATGAGTGAGGCAGGCAATGCTTTGAGAGAGGCAGTGCAGAGCGAGAGGTTGGCAGAAGGAGCTGAGAAGAAGCGCCCAGAGGCTGAGGAGCATCGGCAGCTGCTGGAAGGAGGCCTAAGAGGCGAGAAGGTGGCAGAGATGCTGTGCAGGCGCTGTGACCTGAGGAACCTTGGGCTTGCGCTGAGCTGGATGATCTTCGAAGGAGGACGGAGCCAACTTGGCCGCTCGTGGTTGTGGGGAAAAGTTGCGGCCATGAATGAGCAGGTGTGTTGCGGGCAGCTACTAGGCAATCGGAGCCTCTTTCCTTTTCCCCACGTTTGGCGACGCCTTGAACGGAAATTGAAAGGAACCCTGGTTGAGGACATTTTCATGGACAGTTTTTGGACCAGTGATGATTTTGTCGATGGTTGGGTTTTGGCCTCCGTGAAGTTCTGTCAACACCTGCATGGGGGGAGCTTGGGGTTTGGTGTAGGATCCGCCCGCAAGTTCCATTGGGCGGCAATTCGCAGCATTGATAGGAGGGTTAGAGAGATGATTGATGAGTGGAAACCGGGCCTGGTATGGGGCCCTGAACAGATTAAAGAAGACCTTTCCAAGCGAGACATAGGCTATGCCGGAGAGGAGGTTGGTAAAGTCGAAAAGCTGAGTAGGGCTCAAATACTCCCTTCCTTGCCTCCCCCAGGAAGGGGCGGTTCCGTTCGATTGATTGATTGGGTTGGTCCTAGCACGCGGAGACTGCTTGAGAATCCCAGTCTTTGCGAGATTGAAGATTGTGGTCAACAGGTCCCCAGGCTGACTGGCCGAGTGCACATACAGGAGGGAGAGAAACTGGAGGTGGCAAGGCTTTTGGTTGAGCGAGGTATTTGCAAGTGGTACCCCGAGAAGGAGGTTTTCCGGTTCCGTGGCACCTCTGTTAAGAACGGCATGTTTGGAGTGGTGAAACCAGGTAAGGTCATTGAAGGTCGAGAGACCTTGAGGGTGATCATGAATCTCATCCCAAGCAACAGTATTCACAGCATCATTCCCGGAGCGGTTCATCGCTTGCCCACCATCACTCAGTGGACTTCTATTTTCCTTGGACCAGGCGAGCGTGTTGAGGTGAGTCAGGCAGACATCACGTCAGCCTTTTACTTGTTCGAGTTGCCTATTGCATGGCACCGTAGGCTGGCCTTCAACATCGACGCTATAGGTAGTGAGTTAGGCCCTGGCTATGACCCCGAAATCAAGTACAGCCTCTGTGCATGTGTCTTACCTATGGGCTGGAACTCTGCTGTAGGGGTAATGGAAGAGGCAGCTGAGAACTTGCTTAAGGACATTGGGCTACAGACTGTTCAATCAATTAACAGGATTCAGTTGCTCCCTGCTGGTTTCGTGGAGAAAATGAAGGCTGTGGAAGTCCAATCAACCCCCTTTTGGCATATTTACCTCGACAACTATGCCTCGGGCCAGAGAGTGCAGGGTAAGCTTGAGGAGACCTTGGGTGGCGAGCTTCACAACTTGGCAGAGACGGGGAGAGGCATCCTGACTGCCCCTCAGAAAAGCGTTCACAGGGCCCTTGTGACGACCGAACTGGGAGCCTATGTTCAGGGTGAGAGAGGATGGATTGGAGCAAGTCCAGAGAGGCTGGAAAAGACCATCAAGCTTAGTCTGTGGCTCGCGACCCGAGGCAACATGAGGAGAAAGACTTTGCAGATTGCAGCTGGACGTTGGATGCATGTCCTTCAGTTTAGACGGCCTGCAATGAGCCACTTCTCAGGAATTTGGGAGTTCCTCCAGGCCATGCAGAAGAAGAAGGAGTGGAAGGCCAGGTGGGAGCTGCTTTGCATGTCGTTTGGGGCGATGCTGGTACATAGTGACCTCAAAGCCCCTCCTTCCGCAAGGGTTACAGCCAGCGATGCTTCCAGTTTGGCCGGTGCTGTGGGAGTTTCCGAAGAGGTGACACCGCTGGGAAAGGATTTCCTTTTCGTTGACATGAATCCCAGCGCTCAAGGGATGACCATCCCAATTTTGGTGATCTCGCTCTTTGATGGGATAGGTGGAGCAATGAGGAGCTATAATGTTGCAGGTGCCAGACCCGCTAAGTATGTCTCCATAGAGATCCACTCTCCTGCTAAGCGCGTCGTGAGCCGACGATGGCCTGAAGCGATTCAGTTCGACGATGTCAATGCGGTCGATGCGACCCTCATCAGGGAGTGGATTGGACAGGCTGGACCCATCAGAGGCATTCACCTCTGGGGAGGATTCCCTTGCAAAGACCTCAGCGCTGCAAAGGCTGGACGTAGGAACCTAGAAGGTGATCACAGCTCACTTTTCTACCAGTTGAAAAGAATCTGGAAGGAGGTGCATTCGATCTCACCGGAGCTGGAGACAACCCTGTTTGCTGAAAATGTGTGTTCGATGGATGTCAGCGCGAGGGACACGATCACGGCCGAACTCGGTTTCGCCCCTTACAGAGTTGATAGTGACCATGTTGTTTGTCTTAGTCGGCCACGTTTCGTTTGGACAAACTTGACGGTTCGAGAAGATGAACATGTTTGGACAGAGTGGAAGAACGGGTTCTGGCAGGTTTATTTTAGCTGTGAGCGCTTGCAGGGTTTGGCATGGACTGACCCAGGTTGGACCCCCTTTGATGAGACGGCGGTTTTTCCAACGTGTATGCGTGCAATTGCAAGGTGGCAACCCCCTCCTAGGCCTGTCGGGTATGCACGGTGCTTAGCCCATGAGCTGAGTAGGTGGCGACAAGATGCGTTCCGCTTCCCACCATATCAATATAAAGACTGCTATATGATGGTTGAGGAGAGTTCCGGCAAAACTCGATACATCAGTGTTGAAGAGAGAGAGCGATTAATGGGCTACGGAACGGGGCACACAGAGTTTGCTTGGAATGCCTCGGCGATCAAGGGTAGCCCAAGAGGTTATACTGATGAAAGGCTGAGCTTGCTAGGAGATGCCTTCCCCGTGAACACCTTTTGGTTGTTTGCTGCTAGCTCCATTGAAGCTTGGATTGATAGAAGAAAGCCCGAACAATATTTACAGAGGCTAGGACTGTTCCCAGGTTCGTGCTCGCACGTGGATCGGGTATCACCCTTCGGCACACAGTTTCCCTTCGGCAGCACTGAGAAGGACCTTGAGGGTGTCGAAGAGGCTGAAGAACTTCTTGTACGACAGTTGGCTCGAAGGGTAGCCCACAATGGATCAGATATCAGGGTAAGTTTAAGTGTGCCCACCAATCCTCGTTTGTTCTCCCGGCAAAGCATCCCTGCAAACTTCTGGAAATGGACTATTTGTTGGAAGAAACATTGGGAGGTAAAAGAGCACATTAACGCCTTGGAAATGCGTTCCATACTACTTTCCTTGCAGTGGAGACTTCAGCACCAAGATGGCACAAACCTACGAGTCCTGCATTTGACCGATTCATCGGTCTGCCTATCCATATTAGCTAAGGGCCGGACGTCTAGTAAAGCACTTTCTTACATTGTCAGGAAAATCAATAGCCTCGCCTTGATGTGCAATATTTATATGTTGGGTATCCACGTGGATAGCATCCACAATCCAACTGATGCTGCATCGAGACAATGAGGAAGAAGGTTGCTAAAAGCCTGACTAAGGAGGACAGAAAGAAGGCTCGCAGTGGCGCTAGCTTGCATGAGATTGGCCTGAAGGAATCCACGCTTCGTCGATACAGAGAAGCCGTTCACAAAGCCCTTGAAGAGTGGGAATTCGAAGCTGCCGGTTATACTGACCTTCCCAGCTTTGACCTTGAGCTAGGAGACTATTTAGAGTATCTCTATGAAAGTGGTGAGGCAGTTTCGTTGGCAGGAGATCTCATTTGTGGCTTGCAGACCTTCCTTCCCTTCCTCCGTAAGCATTTGTCTTACAGCTGGCACCTGTTTGGGCTCTGGAGAAAGAATGAGAGGTCTTGGCAAGCCACGCCTATGGGACCGGAGCTGCTCTGGGCGATGATAAGCAGAGCCATAGACCTTGAGGCCATAGCTATGGCATTCTTGCTAGCAAGCGGCTACTATGGGCTCCTGCGCACTGGCGAATTGCTACATATGAGGCATGAGGACATTACCCACTCTGAGCATGAGCTGTTGATTCATCTTCCAGACACCAAGACTGCCCCCAGAGGAGGACCTGGAGAGACAGTCGTGATTAGAGATCGCAGGGTATGTCTTCTGTATCAGAGCTTAAAGACGCTCACAGGTCGTCGTGGGATCATTTGGGCACAGTCCCCCCAAGCTTTTCGTGAGCAATTCTCCCAGCTGCTAGCCTTCTTTAAACTTGAAAGTCATGGCTATAGACCATACAGCCTCCGTCGTGGAGGCGCTACAGCCTTGTACAGAGCCCAGACCCCGATGGATTTGATCCTCATTCGTGGAAGATGGAAGAATTCCTCTTCCGCACGCCTTTACATAGCGGACGGAATGGCAGAATTGGCGCGCCTAAAGTACTCGTCAAAGACGCGTGCGCTTCTTAAATTTTGTCATAAACGGCTTGGATTTCAGTCGTCCTGAGCGGACAAGCTGGTGAGCACCAGGGGAGCGTGGAGAATCCACTTTTGTTTCAGCCTTGCACCTCCAAAAATGCATCG